TGACTAAGATTTCCAGATTGGTTTCAGATTGATGAATGTGTTTCTCGCCTTCCCGATTCTCGCTCGATTTGACATCCTCGTCCGTTCCGACTTCCTGTAGTTGAGACAATGCTCCCTAGATAAGTGAATGAAGTAACCTCTTTGAAATCCCAAACGTTGATGGTGACTGACGTTGGATGTTGTTGCTGTTGTTGGTTGGTTATTTTCATAACCTTCGTCTTGTCTATGTTCACATGGAGTCCTGTCTTCGCCGGCTGCTTCTTCAACCAGTTTGTCGGTTTTTGCTTGTAAGTCTTCGATTTTGTGTGACATCAAACATAAATCATCGCTACGCGAAATCCAGGTCTTCTAGGTCCTTCGCGTCGGTCCAGGATATTTCTGTCTTCTCGTTTCCCACTGTCTGACCCATAGTCCAGTCAGTCCACCACAATTAGGAATATCAATGGTGATAATAAGCACCCTTGTCTGACTTCTGTGTTTACTCCAAACGCCTCGCCGAGTGAGTTTTCCGTTGTGAATCACTTGACATGTGACGTTGTCGTACAGCTGTTGAATAAGATTGATGAATATTTGGGGTACGCCGTAGTACTCGAGTCAACGCTGTCGAAGGCCTTCTCAAAATCTATAAATTTGAGGTAGAGGTTTGACTGCCATCCCATGCTTTGTTCTGTGATGATGATGCGTAGAGTTGCAATTTGGTCAGAACATGATTTGCCTTTCCTGAATCCAGCTTGTTCTGGTCGGAGTTCTAGTAATACGTAGTTCTTCCAAATATAGACTTCTGTGTTATCTAGGTGTTGCAAGTGTTTTCAGACGCTTTATCCTGCAGAAGATAAGTTGTAGTTGTCAACTGCCAGCATTATACCTTTGTTTAACTTGTCTTAGATTTAGTTACGATTGTGTCTATTTGACGCTTTGATTGTCGATATATTTTTCATGCACATACATAGATCAAATGACAAAGCAGAGTCACAGTGTTACATGAGAAATATTACAATTTCCAGTTATTTTATTTATGTGTGAAAACTAGTTTTTACTTATTTTTGTTCAGATTGGCAACACTACAATTCACACTGATTGTTACTGACTCACTCTCTACTGGATTGCATTGTGTTAGTCAAGTACTTTTTACCTTGTGTCTAGGATTCATTAAAGCAAATAGGATCAGTAAAATGTCAGTTCTGAATAAGTTTTTAGCCAAATAAATTCTCCTGTAATATAATGAATGAAAGATCTGAGCTAGTTGTTTAATACATACTTCTTGCATTATAAACGCTGATGGAAATTCAGGAGATTAGAAGTACTGTCCTAAAGTTATTACATCTACAGGAGGTCACTTCTAACCTAAGTAGTTTACCGAAGAAGTTTTGAAGCATATTTTAGTGATTGATTACACATTCATTTCATAAAGGCTTAATATGAATCTTATTGATATTGAAGAGCAGTAAACCAACAATTTGATCCACTACATCTAACACGAAACATGAAAGCTGTCTCAAATAAAATTCTCAGAAAGGGTTTTTTGAGGTTAAAATGTGTAGGGGAATATCGAGTGATCTCAGTAACAGAACAAGTATTTGAATAAAAATCCAAGTTAATGAGATGTTATTGTCATAGTATATTATAAAAAATACAGTGATTAGTTACATAAATTAATTGGTTACTTGGTTACACAGTTAATGTCCACTACTACAAATTATTAATATAATCCATAAGTGTTCACTGTTGGCGTCGTGTCTACTGTTAAAAGCTGTGCACCAGTTGAAGAATAGTCTTCGGGTGAGGATAAGAAGTTCCTGCAAAGATCCAAAGTATACAACACGGTAAGTAGTGAAGCAAGTGGACAGTTTAGACTAGTGAGAAGACGAAATGGCCAGCAGTGGACTGTATTTCAGATTGTACTGGGAAGTTATCTATGTTACAACATGAATCATTTTAAACAAAAGTCATGTACAATGTTTCTAATTTCAACATCTAACAAAGGAGTGTACAATCATATTGTTACGTACTCCACAAATGTATGGATAAAAGGTGTAGTGTTAGCATTCATGTTATATCGGGCATAAAATGAATACTCCAATAATTGGTTTAATGTAGACCATTGCACTTTATAAACCCTCCTCTCTCATCTAGTTCTTCTGTTATATGCAAAGGACCTGTTTTTCATTATCGTATGTTGAAGTATTGCGGGTGTACGATTATACTTCATTGGTTTATCTGTTAAGTGAGTGAGAAGTATCTCCTCATATCTAGCATCCACACACACAGTTTACTTTAGGCATCTTCCAGTCTACCTATCTAGCTATAAGCAACATTTACAAATATTTCATGATAGATTAATCGACACATTGACATTATCTCTAAGTGACTACTGTGTAAACAAAATAATGTATGGTCTTTTTTATTCCTTTATGTTCCCAGTGGAACATAGGATTTCGAGCTAGAGGCTTGAAGTTTCTGTAGCAGTGTTGTTTATTTTTACAGGATAGTGTTGTAAGCGTCATGCCAAACCATCCCTCTTTACCAGTCTTATTATTGGCTTGGCAAGGTATAGGAGGGCGTCGGGCGGGGATCGAACTCTGGGCCACCTGCGTGGTCGGCGAGCACTCTACACCTATGCCACTGATGCACTATCTATAGCTCAGCAGTCAGGTTTTTTTTGGTACCTATCTTATTCTTTTACTGTACTGTTTAAATGTCGATTACTGTTTGTTTATGTTAATTGTATGTATAAAATACAAATAATTCTACTGAATATGAATTTCTGTTTTCTCCACGTTATTCTCTGGCTCACGGTTATTCGGCCATTGCAGACTACAATTATTATTAATTAGTACTTTTTTATTGATATTCCTCTATTTGAAGAGAACTAAAACGAAATTATGCCATTAAAAAGCACGTTGTATACTTTTATAATTTTACTTCAGCCAGTTAACTTATTATTGATTCACCAAGTGCGTGACAGAAGAGAAGTTACTTATACATTGTGTATACAGTTGCAAATTAAAATCTGCCTTTTATTACAACAGTGTTTAAGAACTCTAACTGGTAGCTAAGTACATGGGATTTTATTGAAAATTATTTATTCACATAACGGAATAAACAATAAATTAGTTATTCTTTTGACCAAAATTTATGTGAAATTAAAATTTGTACTGTAAATCACCACTGTTTGGAATATTACCACTAACTGAAAACGTTAATTCGGTTGAGCAAAGCCGCCTTAATGATAATAGCTACTAAGGTATCTAGCAACTGTGTCAACAAACAATCCGAATATTCCCATGTGAAAGTAATATAGCCATTAATATAGGTTATCTATCATAAACACGGCAAAAAGATGGTTTTATATTAGTTGATAAACTGTATCCAATGAAAAAAGACCATTAAACAAAAACAAACTGTATAACTCGCTAATAATGTGCTTTTGTTGAGTAATTTTATCCTTCACTGAAAACTTGTTAATTCAGTTAAAAGCTATAACTTGATAAATCAGGCTGATGATGGTGAGTGATAGCAGATGACAGTTATGTTATGTTATGTTAACTGATCTCTACGACTGGTAGGTATGCTGACTGGCCTAGCTGACTTCCATCTCACATCGTCTAAAAGCCAAGTAGAGCATTTCGTATTTGAAAATTAGTAATTGTCATTCAGACTATTTTATTTGCTGGTATGTTAATCAGAAAGACGTATGGACCGGAAGGAATAACTGGTGTAGAAACATAAAGAGTACGTTCAGAAATATTAACAATTCTGTTAAAGACAATCCAATAAAGTTTTGAAAATTTTCACTTAGACAAATGAAAATTACTTTTCAATATTACAACCTATAACGATCTATTGGTAATTTGATCCCCTCTTGGCATGTAGACAGTAGTTAAGTGGATAAAGGTCTACAAGTTGACCGAAAAATGACTTTCCTAGACTCACAAGCCTGAAAGAACAGTACTCTAGGATTTCGAGTAAATCAGCGAGAATTGTAACTTCTGCTATGTAATTATCTAGGTGGCGAACTTATACAGTAGGTAGGTAGAAGCCATATCGAACTAATGGCGCTTAGAAAGGTTTCTGCAAGAATAAAATATAAATCACGGGGTAGATTTACTAGCCTCATGCCTAATATTCCCTGTTTCCCAGACTTATTACAGGCTAAAAAACTAGGAGAGGTTATTTAGTGTTACAGGTGGGTAAATTTCTTCATATATTTTTTGACAGCTCCACCGGTAATAATCTCTTTGAGAACTTGATCTCACTGCCAGTGGCTAACTGATCTTAGACAAATATTCAAACATGTGAGTTGCCCAGTGCTCAAAGCGAGTGATGATAGCGTGTTATAAAATCCATCTCTAAACCAAAGCTTTTTTAGACAACTAAATATATGTGTCATTCATTTCGAAATGAATATCATTGCTTAACATTCAGATAATATAGAATGATTCATTTCATTGATACTTTGTGGACTGATCAAAACAAAATAATTGATTAATAATATTAAAAGTAATTGTTCTTGAAATTGTAAATCCCTGTCTGAGTAATTTGAAAGTCAAAAATACTTAATTAATAGTTCACAAAGGTGAGAAAAACTGGGGATCGGCCAGTAGCTGAGCATGTGTAAAATACAACTATGTTTCGGAGGAGTCGAAGGGTGGCAGGATTTTATGCAAGTTATAAAAATGTCATTATATTGCAATAATATTCAGTCGGATATATTTCGTTTACCTTCATGCTGAAAGATAAAATTCAACCATATAAACAAGGCTCAATGACATAATCTCAATGGAATTTAATTTATTTCTAAACAAGGTGATATTGTCTCACCACCTACGCTTCATTAATTATTCTACGGCAAATAATGTCACCTGACCGATGGCGATCATTAAACATTTGAACAAATACATTATTATAAGGAGTTGACGCGCATATGCATGTATAGGATTATCTCATATTATTATTGTCATCCTTGTTATGTTATTCATAAGTGACGAATACAAAACCAAATGAACTTATTACTTATTCTATATCTTTCTTACTTAAGTTTGTGTTCATCAAAGAAGAACGTAGAACTAGAGGAAATCACATTAGCAAATGTACCAGCATTTGATATTAAGAAGGACAACTTTGTTCTAGCTGGTGTATTCAATAAAACCTGGGATGGACCAGTTCATTACGATGCATTAATTGGCAGTATGATTACTTTACCATGCATAACAAGTGATATAGGTCTTGAAAATATCTTAACTGAAAGAAGTAGGGCAATTGAACAAAAAAAGTCATGGGCTATACTATGGGTTCATCAAACATGGACAAATGTCATTGATCCGTGGTTAGGAGATGGACGACGTAGTTATGATCCTTTACAAACCAACCAATGGCTTCTACCCAATATGCACACTTCAATATATCAATCACACTATCAATTGTAGATATAGACCCAAGTGATAATGGAGTTTATGCATGTGTTATGGTTACATATCCAATTGAACATGGTTATTCTCCTGTTTATTTAAAACAAGCTCAACTAATGAGTATTCACTTTGTACGCATTCATTCTAAGTTAGTCACAGCACCAGGATGCCATGAACATGAACATGGATCAAATGAAGGCCATTGTAAAAGTGGATACGAACCATGGACATTTAATGTTTATTTTCCAGCTGGTGGATGGACAGGCGATATATTATTTCAGGGTAAGTTGTGTCAAAGAATTTATCATCCAATTTCTTAAGTAATTTATTAAAAAGATACGTAATCTTTTCTGAAAATTATTCACTTAGTGCTGAAAATTTGATTGTTTTATATCAACTAACGAAGCAGGCAAACATAATTATCAGGAATACTGTGGAACACTGATATGACTTATATGATAAACTCTAATACAGATTACCCAGGAAAGTCAATTTGAGAGAGCCCTAGGAAATCACTGGAATCTGAAACACAGTGAGTAGTGTATTATTAAGGTTTTTAATGCTGATACTTTTTTCTCAATAAGGAGCAATCAATAAATACAGAAAAATGAATTCACAAATTAAAAAAAATCAAATTAATGCAGACTCCTGGTCATTTCACTTTAGAATAATGAACACAAATATTCATGCGATAATCACTGGAAGATCATCTCGACTAATATAAGACTTAAAACCCAAGTTGTTAGTCACACTTAACATTAATGGAACCGGATGCAAAGAAGAACACAAGAATCATTCAAGTCTCAGGCTGATTGTCCGTTTTTCGATAGGTATAGGAAAACATATCTTTGGAACTGAATCGGTGTCCAAAAGTTATAAGCCAGCCGCTAGGTTACAAGACGATGCAGCTTGATTTTAAATGCATTCAACTTAAAATTCCCAAACACGGACGAGTTATCTAGAGGAAAATACCTTCTTAACAAGGGTTCTATTTATTTATGTTTTATTTCTTCAACTTTTAGCACCATGCAATGCAGAACTTTTTCTTACAGCGTTAAGTATGAGTGGAGTAGATCCAACATTCTGGAGTGTTGGTTGGCGATTTGTACCCTATGGTGACGTTGATGATTCAAAGGTGGTTGAGACAGGTGTAGACTCAAATATAAATTGGACACATCCTGTTCATATATGTGTTGACAGTTCACCTGTGCCATGTTTTTCATCCACTGATTTAATTGATAATGTGACGGAATTGAATAGTTATGATTTATCATCTGCACACATTCGTGCTTCAAATTATTGGAGAGCTCGTTGGCTTGCCTTAACGGGTTCAAAACAACAATATTCGGGTACGTGGCAATGTTGGATTCAAGGATTAGCGATTACTGAACATCCAGTCAAAACTAGTTTCCCTATTCGTTGGTTAACAAATGAAGTGCATATGAAAATAGTACCAAGGAAGCATGTTTACCGTTGGTGGACAACAATCGAATTATGGCGAGTAATAGCATTAATTATGGCACCATTAAATATTGTCTTCATTTTTATTATATTTTTGATTGGGTGGTATTCAGCTAATCGTTATAAAAATCAAATGAAACAGAAAGAAAGATCAATTGGTGGTAAAAAGAAATTTTTACTAAGTCAACATATGACAGATACTGAGTCGACTAAGCAAACACCAGCCGTTTATTTGGATAGATTCCTTCAAAAATCTGGTATTCGATCATATAAAGAATATGCTATACGCACAAAGAGTTGAATGTGCTCAACACAGAATGAGAATAAAAGCATATATTAGTGGTAAGATGAAATCAAAACATTCAAGTAATCAAGTATTCAACTCTTTCATAAGGTCAACATTCCCTCTGATTTATGTTCTTAAGTTTAATAAAATAATATTTATCAAACATTTAATTCTAATGAGTTCAACAATACGAATGTATAGTTGATAGACAGATAGGTAAACAGACAGCTAAGGAGAAGTCACAAGTGCATCATCTTTCTCAGCAAATTCCAGATGCATGCTGATGATAACTTCAACAGCTAGGCATCAGATCAACAGAGGATAAGTTAAAATGAGAAAAACTCTTACCGGGTGGGATATTTCGACCAAACAGTCCTCAATTAAGAAGACAAACTGTCAACCAATGGCAGTAACCTCCTATTTCCCATTAAAGCAGAAGATAAGTTTGAGGCACAAATATTCATCACAATAAATAATGAATGGTACATTAATTAGAAGAACCAACAATTCAGTTTCAGCAAAAAACTCAAATTAATGCTAAACATTAAGATTTAGGGTTACTTTAGTTAAGATGAATTTAAAAGTAGATGTCATCGCCTATTGACACCAGTAAGCCAATGATCCAAACCTTAGAGGCTATTGGTTCGTGACGAAGTGTGTATTGATATTACTACATAATCATCATGAATAACCAATGCTTCCTTGGGAAGATGTTTGATTTTGGTCTGATAATTATAATTACTCATGGAAAATTCCCATTGTAACATTTAGAAAATCAAAACAAGTGATTCAGCGAAGAGACTCTTTTCAACGAATTTATCATCAAGCTGTACAGTCGTATATATATGGTTTTTCAGAAGTTATATCCGGTGAGGGAATTGAATCTTAGGTGTGAATGCACAAAATAATAATAATAATCATATGAAGTTCAATTAAAACTAAAATGTTTGTGATTATAATCGTAGTTAAATGTCAAGCGGCAAAGCAGATTAATGTCATACATAGAATAATTCATAGGAGGGATAGAACTTGAAAAAGGATGTGCAATTATAGGATTAGTAGGCAAATCGAATAAAACAAAAACGTTACGTAATATTTTGTGAAATTTAATAGCATAGAATTTATCGTTGTAAAAATAGAATTGGTTTAGAATGACAAGTGGAACATGTGAAATAATACCGGGGACAGTTCATAGTGAGAATAGTAATAATAACAATTGACCTAATAAGGAAGAGTATACAAATTGAATAGACAAAATGAAAAATTGGTAGAGCTAAAATATGATTGGGGATTACCATATTTTAGCATAGAGGGATTAAGACCATGAAAGTTCGAGGGGTTGAACGAACTTTTTCTGTACACAGAGATCTGGCTTTTCTGTTTCAATTATTTTTTTACAACGATAATTTCTATGCTATTAAATTTCACACAATATTACGTATTACGTAGTGGAAGCCGTGACCAGTAGGTACAGCAGGTCGAAGATGAGGCAGTAACTCATCGAAGAAGACATTGCGAAGTGGTCGCGCTATGTCGTGAACTGACAGAAGTTAAATTCAAGGACCATTGGATCGGTCCCAGTGGCTCAATGGTCTACGAGCTCGCCTTGTAACCAGAAGGTCCTGGGTTCGAATCCCGGTGGGTGCGTACTGCTGAGGAGTCCCAAACTAGGACGAAACGGCTGTCCAGTACTCCCAGGTTTTCCAGTGGTTCTCTAACTGATGTCAGCTCATGATTAAATCCTCCATGTAACTGATATGTATCCACATATATATACGTGTGTGTGTATGGTGATCTCTCTTTCTGTTGCTCGCTTAGTCTGTGACCATTTCATTTTGATGAACCTGTCTCCTTTAACAATGTATATTCCCCTTATATTATATAATATAATATGAGTGTTTGTTGACAGTCCGTTGCTTGGTGACAGATATCCATATTATGTGTGTTTGTTGACATGTCTGCTATATTTTGCTATGTATATATGGATCGATACTTCATTATAATTAGCCATTCATGTTAAGACTGTCCATTGATTTGTTCACACACTTGTCTGGATATTCATATATATTTCGCTCACACAATCTTGTGTGTCCACTTACTTTGGTGTGATACCACTTTTGCGTCTCCTTGTGTTTGGAAAATAGAAGTATCATCGCAAACCTAGTGGTCTTCTGATTTCCGCCTTCTTGCGTCAGGACTATTAAATTCTCGACCAGTACATAGCAATAATTTGGCGACGAGTACATAACAGTAACGTTTTTGTTTTATTCGATTTGCCTACTAATCCTATAACTGCACATCCTTTTTCAAGTTCTATCCCTCCTATGAATTATTCTATATATGACATTAATCTGCTTTGCCACTTGACATTTAACTACGATTATAATCACAAATATTTTAGTTTTAATTGAACTTCATGTGATTATTATTATTATTATTTTGTGCATTCACACCTAAGATTCAATTCCCTCACCGGATATAACTTCTGAAAAACCATATATATACGACTGTACAGCTTGATGATAAATTCGTTGAAAAGACTCTCTTCGCTGAATCACTTGTTTTGATTTTCTAAATTATAATTACAACTAATAACATGTACATTGTAAGATTCCAGACCGCAGATGTTACGAATTTCCTGGAATAATTTGAGTGCCGAATCAACCTCAATTATCATAAATTATTTAAAATAATCCCAGTGTGTTTAGGGAAAAATCGAAACAAGATTTTTCTGAAAGTTTCGCTGTGTGAGACATGGCTTCCTCAGCATGCTTATTTGGATTTCATCAACAATCAAAATATATAGTCAAAAAATACAAAAATTGAAGTGAGTTCCTTTGACATTCACTTGTGGGTAGACATTGAACCAAAAGAAAAATGTAAATAGTTATCACATGCTTGTCATAATTAATTTTCAAGATTTTTTATATAGGGGCTAGACCTCGGATTGATATCGGTTAAAGAACCACTGAAAACCAGGGACTACCAGACAGATGTTTTTTCCTAGTTTGGGACCCACCGGTGATACGCACCTACTGGGGTTCGAACACAGGACTTCCAGGTTGTAAGGGAAGCTCGTAAACCATTCAGTCACTGGGATCCGATTCGATGTCCAAGGAATTCTAACTTCTACCAATTCGTGATTTTTGCGCGACCACCAACCAATGTCACAGGGGGGAACTCGATTCTCACTCCCAACTGGATGGACCTCACTGGTCATGACTTCTCACTAGAACTGCAGGTAACTTCAGCCTGTAGCAGATCGATTTTCAAGAATTAGTTTGTAGGGACTAAACAGCTGTACTTTTTGGTTTTCAGTGGTTCTCTAGCTGATACGAGTTCGTTGTTTAGCCTAAAACAAATACAATCCTTACAAACTAATGCTTGAAAATCAATCTAGTGCTCACTAGTGACTTGCTACAGAGTGAAGTTACCTGCAGTTCGAGTGAGAAGTCATGACCAGTGAGGTCCATCCAGGTGGGAGTGAGAATAGAGTTTCCCCTTACGACATTGGTTGGTTTTATATTATTATTTATTTAAACGCATAAAAAACTTGGTACAATAAGGCACCAAGAAGGATGCGCCACACAGTAATAATAAAACAACATAGATCAAAAGAAAAAAATATAAGTAGAGAACGGATAAAGAACTTCATCTGGAAGGAAAACAGTCGTGCTTAATAGGTTCAAATAGTATTCGTTAACTATCATCGGGAAGGGAAGAAAGAAGGAAATTGCAGCACGTTCGCCATTGATTACGATTCTTGGCCATATCCGATAACGTTTCGAGCTATCGATGTGAGCTATCTCGCGGACCCCAACTAGGGAGTCGTGACGCACCAACCGATGCTAATCTAGCACAAAAATCCTTCATCCCACGACGCCACGTCATGGACTGTCCACCTCTCCGCTTTTCCATCCCGTCCCAGGGCTAGCGAACAGAGACCTGTACGGAAGCCTCTGGGATGACATTCGCAGCACCTGTCCAAGCCACCGGAGCCGGTGTTTCCAAATGACGACACTCAATGAATGGTGATCTCCACTGTGTTCAAACACACGCCGCCGAACCTCAGAGTTACTCACGCGATGATGTCATCGAACACAAGCAATCCTGCGAAGACAGCGACAATCGAACACGCAGAGTTGCCGAACATCCTCACCTCGGAGAGGCCAGATTTCACGGGCTAAGAGCAAGACAGCCCGCACCGAAGCATTGTATACCCGACCTTTGACAGCCAGGCTAACATCGCGACGGTGCCATAGGTGGCTCAAGTTGATGTATGCCACCCTAACTTTCATTATACGGTTGGAAATCTCATCCGTCACCCCTCCGCCAGCACTCACACAACTTCTCACGTACACAAACTTATCAACGACTTCAGGCGATTCACCCGCAACAGCGAGTGCTGGTACAGACTCCTGCCAATCTTGTAACAGTACTTTGCACTTAGACGACGCAAAGCACATACCATACTTACAGACACTTCTCGGCCGAAAGCTGCTACCTTGACGTCGTGATCGGGCTTGAACACCGCAATGACCTGTTCAAGCTATACTGGCTGAGACTTATGTTTCTTGAGGTCCTACCATGCCAGGCAGGTTGTTTGGATAGCGGTTAAACAAAAAGCAGCTACCCAATCCAACATAATGATACACAGAAAACCACAAAATTTCATGCCGGATCGGCCGTGGCCCGGATTAACAACGACCGCGCTTCCTGCTGCCGTGTCACAGGGCAGAAGTGATAAATATGCTACTGAGACACACAAAACAATAAAGAACAAACAAAAGCAGGCCGCGTGTGACCGCCCCAAGCAGTTGTCCCTGGGCTCTGCGGTCACGCAAACAACTTCCACGGTGTGGGCAGCCGGAAGTAACAAACGCCCTCACAATCCAAAACGCACGCGAAACCTCTCTATTACTCACTCATCTTTGTCTTTATCTTCATCTCTATCATCTTGTCTTCCTTCCACTGAAGCAACTCCACGACTTGATAGCTCTTCACTTCCTCTGCACTTTGCGTCCACTAAAAACGATGTCCCCTCCGTCCTCCTTTATGGTTGTGAGACCTGGCCACTGAGAGTGGAAGACATGAAAAGGCTAGCTGTCTTTGATCATAGGTGCCTGCGCTCTATTTCCCGTGTGAAGTGGCATAATAAGGTGAGCAATATTGAGGTTAGGCGTCGAGTTCTAGGTAAACAGGGGAAACCACTCGAC